TGTAACAAAAGTTTCTACATCGGTAATGCAAAAAACAGTAACAAACTGATTTCAGCTTTAGTTGAATTTCCGTTCCACCTTAAATAGTGCAAGAGTTACACGCTAGCACCTGTAGGCATCTGGATATAAGTATAACATTTAAGGTGGAACAGAAAATGAAAATAAGAAGATAACTTAAAATAAAGTTTTTTGTCCGTAATTCCATTTCATTTTAGTTCGTTTTTCCAGCGGACCATACAGTTTTCGTGTTTTTGAAACTGTCATTTTTATTTTTATTACAGTTACAGATTTTTTTCACTGGTAGTTTTTGTTTTTAGTAATAGTTTTGGTTAACCATAATTACCCTGGTTAATGACATTAAAAAAATATCTTTAACCCTATAAAATTTGCTATTTACACCGATCAGGCATAACTTTATGATGACATCCTCGTTTCTACGCTCATTATCCATTTTATCAGCTCCACTTACTATATAGGTGCACTTTGTAGTTCTACAATTACAGACTGTGGTCCATCTGTTGCTCTGCATACTTTGTTAGCCCCTTTACCCTGTTCTCCAGTGGTCAGGACCCCCATGGACCCTCACAGTGCAGGTACTATTTGTGTGGTGGATCATTCTCAGCACTGCAGTAACACTGATGTGGTGGTGGTGTGTTTGTGTGTGTTGTGCTGGTACAAGTGGATCAGACACAGCAGTGCTGCTGGAGTTTTTAAACACTTTGTCCACTCACTGTCCACTCTATTAGACACTCCTACCTTGTCAGTCCACCTGACCACTGAAGAACAGGGTAAAAGGGGGCTAACAAAGTATGCAGAGAAACAGATGGACCACAGTCTGTAACTAGAACTACAAAGTGCACCTATATAGTGAGTGGAGCTGATAAAATGGACAATGAGCATAGAAACAAGGAGGTGGTCATAATGTTATGCCTGATCAGTGTATAGCCCAGCTGAAGCTAATATTTTGGAACACTGACTCTAATGTTCGATGTGTGTTGAAGAGATGTGGGGGTACTATTGTGATGAACTATTCCATGTTGTTACTTGATGACACAATGGCACAAAGACATGCTGGAATGAACAAGGCCGGGGGTCAGCAACATGTGGCTTTTACTGCCCTGTTGTGGCTACACAGCAGAATTAAGTAAAAATAAAATAATCCTCCTTTGCAGTGAAAATAAAGCTCTGCTGATCATTCTAACACAGTTGTAACAATAAACGGTCTTAAACGTTGGAGTTAATGCGTAACTGCTAATTCACCCTTTACCCCAAAGATCGGCGCTCAGACTGCTGGTCACCACAGCAACGACAACAGTCTCACCTAGCTAGTAGCTAATTAAAAGGCAAAGAGAAAGATTTAGGACGAACATGGATAATTTGGAGACAAATGGACTCATTTGCATTTATAAGCACTCAGCTGGTTTCCTGATATGTTTAATCTGCAATGAGAAACTGTCAAACACTAAACAGTCACGAAGCTGAAGTCAGTTTCTGGGGACAATGGAAAAAATTTAACAAGAAGCTGGAGAATGAGAAGCTGACTTAAACCTTTTTTAAACTTTTAAAATGAGAAGCTGACTATTCCACTTTTGGAAAAGTTTCCTGCCGGAGATGCAAGAAAAACGGCTAGAGCTGAGCCAAAGCTTAAAGCAGAGCAAAGTAAGTCTGCGTTTTTGTTTCTATTATATTTTTTAGCTTATACTAACACATTAGCACCTACTGAGACATATTTACAGCCAAGATGGTAAAATGGACAAAAAATACTGTGGCTCCCAAAGTGGTTTGATTTTTGCAATTTTTCAAAATGGCTCTTCTTAACTTTTGGGTTGCCGACCCCTGAACAATGCAATTAAATGATAATCTACATTTTAGAGAGAAGGGCATCGTGTGATTTTCTGAGTGTTGAGAGGGAAGATCAAATATAGGAACACAAAAAAGCGGAAAGCCTTAGAATTTGTTGCTACACTCTTAGAGCTAAAATTGTTTTTTTCAGTCAGAACAGAGTGCTGCACACGCTCAGCAGACTGTACATAATGCTTGTGTTAATGTTAGTATAGTGTTGGGGTAATTACTTTAAAAAGTAATCCATTACAAGCTACTAAATACTTCTCTCAAAATGTGATGGGATTCTGTCATTTTGCCTCAAGCACTTTTCTTAAAATAAAACATGTCTAGAAATAAGTTAACCATCTTTTAAAATTCTAGAATTAAGATGATTCCATTTGCCAAAATATAGACAGCTGCTTCTGCAAACTCTTCTGTAAACTGTAAAATGTGCATCCAGGGGGCCCCATGCCTGTCTTTTGCCTAGACCCCCCAGAATCACCAAATCCACCCCTGAGGCCACACAGAGTTTTACTTGGAGATAAAGTCGAGGTTTTTAAGCCGTCTAAGGCTACCTTACTGGCGAAAAGTTATTGTCAAAAGCTGGACAAAACCTAGTTCCTCCCAGATGCTAATAATCTATCAGTTTCAATGATTGACTTGCTTTTAGACACTTTTTATCAAAGCAGTCCCACAGAAGAAGTGCATACCAGTGCAGTGTTCAGTCTCCATGGTGGTAAGTTTCCTACAGAGCCGACTGGATGCACATCCCTTACTATCCACACTTAAAATCCATGTGGCTGTTATTTCTGCATAGCACATACGCCTGGATTGGTTACTTCTTTCCCTCTGACCCACAAACTCTCCTAGATCGCTGAAGGCCATCTATCTTATCCTGTCAATACATACATCAGTATTAAACTTGTTTCTTTTACTGACAAGCAGACTGCTTGGTGGATCCTGTTATGCCAGGCTTTGAGGCATTATGTGACCACTGGCTTACTTACTTTAGTTGCTTCTTTGTTAGGAAAAATAGGGTTTCACAGTAAATGCTGAAGGTCAGTGTCTTGCTAATCTGCTCAGATTATTCTTATGCTGTAAGAATATTATCAGGGACCTTTCGTCTCTCTCCCCATGTGTTGGAAGTTGGGATCGCACATAAATGGTAATTTAAAAGGTAATTAGTCATTAATGCATTTCAGCCAGTCTTGTGATGAGGGAGGGTGGGGTCTAAATAGCCCTAATTGGTAGAAGGCCCACATTTATGACTGTATTTCCTTTATGAACTGTGTCCTGTTTTTGAAACAGAAAGAAAGAAGGTAGGTGGAAGAAGGAAGGAAGGAAGAAGGAGGATGAAAAGAATGAGTGGAAAGAAAGAAGAAAGAAAGAAAGAAAGTAAATACATGAGAAAGAAAGAAAGAAAGAAAGAAAGAAAGAAAGAAAGAAAGTAAATACGTGAGAAAGAAAGAAAGAAAGAAAGAAAGAAAGAAAAAGAAAAAACTGTAACACTTCACTGTAAGGTACTGGTCATAAGACTTTATGACACTGACATTATGTCAGTTGTCATGCCAAGCTTATGTAGGTGTCATGTAGCCTTATGAACAGTACCCTATAGTAAGGTGTTACCGACAAAATAAACAAGGCTGTTCTATGAGCAGGTTTGTCCAGCCTTTTGACTGGTAATGAATGTCCAGTGTACTGTGTTGGACTTTATGCTTTGCTGTCTTGTACATATTTACTGCACTTTGTGCTGAGTCTGCTTGCTACGCTATGATTGGGCAGCTCGCTGACGTGTGCCATCTTCATTTTTAATATTTGCATTTAGATACTGTCATGTTTCTTTTATGGTTCTTGGGCACATATTTAGATTTGTTACACTGTATGTGATGACGCCTCCAGCTGGCTATACACACCATCAGGTGCTCATACTTCCTCCATTGATTTATTCAACAAAAGAACTTTAAAAATGGCTATCCAAATGCTTCAATTTACAAAAATGTTACATTCTCATTAAAATGATAAAAGTAAAACACAATTGTTTGGACAGAAAGTTCACTTTTTCCTGGTTATGAAAACAAATTTGATTAAAATAAAATCAGGCAGCATATATTAATATGTGAGTACATTGCTTAGATTCACATCTTGCTGTATGATAGAGTCAGTTTCATAATGAGTGTAAGAGGTGAAACTATGGTGTGGAAACAAGACATGAGGATGTTGGTAAATTTTAATGTTGTGATTGTTAAGGCAGATTAGGCGAGGCAAGGGGCCCAGTTAACCTCTTAGGGGGCAGATTTTTTTTTTACTGCTGCTCATTAAGTTTCTGTGGTAATAAAAGTGAAGACCCAAGAACAACAGACGTTGAAATTTTACACTATTCACATTTATAGCAGCCTTTGTCATGTTTGTGCTCGTACCATAGCATCTACTACACTTGGATTTAGTCTTATTTTTATAAACATTTTTTCCCCATTGTCTGACAACACCTACTTCTGCACAGATATTTAGTAACTTCCTGCTGCTGTAGTCTATAGCGTTAGATTTACTCAGTTCCTGTGTGATCACAGCCAGGGTCAACCTGTGAGAAACCAACAGCCAGCAGTACTCACACAGAGGCAGGAGCAAAGGGGCAGGTAAAATCAGTTTAACGATCAGTTTTTAAATGTTTTTATGACACAGGCTTCATTTCAATTGTTTCTAAGAGCTTTTTTTATTTGATTTACTGTTTAGGATTAGAAATTCTGTTTAAAACCTGTCAACATCCTTAGCCTAGGAGTGTTGAAAAGGTGTCTCCATGTAAGACAAGAACTACTGTTTTAAAATGTGAATATGGTGTATCATATTACACAAACATACACAGAACAAATTGTCAGATAAAGCAACAGATTGAGCAATTTGACAATGACAGTGACTGGTACAGAATCGATTTACCGCTAACAGTCTAGATAGCAATAAAATGTATTTTTGAATGTCCAGTTTTGATGGCTATAGATTGAGCTGTTCAATTTCATGGTGAAACTGAAAATTAAGTGTTTGTTAATTTGTTTATTCAATATTATTGAGTAAGTAAGGAATTACTTTATGATAAAGATGCTACACCCATTTGCATGTCTGGTTTCCCTATTCTGTTCCATTCTGTTCCTCTCATTCTTTGGTTTTTGGCTTTTCATTTGCAGGACAACAAGTCAGATGTAAAAGCCATTATGGCTCGCTTCCAGGCTGGTGGTACCTCAATGGAAGCGGGGGCTGGGGGTCGTCCAAAAGCTGCCGTCCACCCCACATTGTCAGGCCCCACAGTGCCATCCAAAAAGCCTGTGCTGGAGACCAGCCTCTCAGGCAGTGCTGCTGCTAACTCCTCCACACCTAAACCCAGCTACCTAAAGAATACAGTCTCCACCAAGAGTGCTCCAGAGGCACGGGAGTCCCCCAAACCAAAGGCCCTTGTAAGCAGATTTGAAAACACAAACACAAACGAGGACAGCAAACCTCCTTTTGCCAAACCCCTCAAACCAAAACTGCCAGACTCGTCCCAAGACACTGAACAAAAGCCGCAGTTCCCCAAGGCACCACTGCACAAAGCTTCCACAAGCATCACTGCACCAGACTCCAAGAACACATTCCCTAAGCCGCCACCTGTCACAAGCAAGCCTTCATGGGCTTCCAAAGCTGAGAACAATGGAAGCAGCCCAAACACCGGTGCCGCTCCAAAAATGCCAGCTACTCTCAAACCGAAGAGTACCATCTCTTCGCTCCTGCAGCAGCCGGACGAGGCCAAGGATGCAGACCCTCTTAAAAAACCATTCAGTGGTGTAAAGCAGTCAAGCTTCCGTGCTGCTCAAAGTGTCTTTAACAAAACAGAAGAAGTGGCTAAAGATGAGGCCAAATCACTGAGTTCTAAAGAATCACCAGCATCAAACCCTGCAATTGCACCAAAACCTAGCTACCGGAGGAAACCTTCTGGATCCAGTATACAGTCAGTAAATGATGATCCTTCAGCCCCCAAAAAGAAGCCTTTACCTAATATTCTTGCCCTCGGCACTCCTCCAAGCAAACCAAACAGACCACCCAGGGTGAACCTTGATAAGTTCAAGAAAGCTGCAGAATCTTCAAATGAAGGTGAGCGCTGGGTCTTTAACCCTCTATTGCATACACTGTGACAATGTTAAAACATGTAAAATATTAAAAAGCATCAAATCATTTTCAGGTAATCAGAATGTTTCATTGTGTAAACAGAAGTGATAGTACTAGTAAAAGAGGTAGAAGATTTACTGACGGTAAATTAGTAAACCAGATCAAAGCTTGTACTTCTATCAGAAAAATGTCTGACTATGAAAGGGAAGATTGTAATTGGATTGCACAAGAGGCAAGAAAACAGTTCCATTAGCAACGCAGTCAGTACTCATAAATGAAAGTGGTAAACGTGCAGAGAGACCAGTTTCTGTGGTTTAGTTCTTCTGTCTTACACCTCCGACACCCCCTCTCCACCCCCACACTGAGAAATACAATGCGGAGTACAGTGTGAAGCTTCAATCTTTATTTTAGATGACATATGTCCCATCTTTACTTGGCTTCAGGCTAATGAAACCTTGCAGAGAGAAGGTTTCCTGTGCTGCAACTTCCTCCTTTAGTTAGTTCTTGCTTGTTAGCTGAGCCAAAACAGGGAAGCTCAAAATGAGAACAACATTTGGAGAAAGGTTTCATTTTTAGTCCAAGATGTCCAAGATGATGTGTTTGGTCCTGCTTTAGGCAAAACGTTACTGCAGTGTGGCTTAACTGGTTGAAAATGAACAGAGTAAATATATTATAGTCATATAAAGTACTGCGGTGTCAGCATAGACACAGGATAGGCCATGATTTCCACCACAAGAAGTGCTCCTACTTAAACACTAAGGCAGAAAGGCACGTATAAAGCATTTAACTCATGGGGGAAATCACCACTAGCTACAGGTTTCACCCTCATAATAGACCAAAACAGAACACACAAACTAAACCTGCAGCCTGACCAAAATAACACACATAACACATATACACAACTTGAACTGAAGCAACGACAACGTGACAAGAATAAACATTCCTTTTTAGGAAGTGTGTGCTTGCCATGAGCCTCAGCGTGTGGCCGCTCGCATGGCTATGCCTCCCTTCTTGGAGGCACTGGGAGCCAGTAGCAGGTCGCTACTTAGCCCCCACAGTGTGCTGTGTCAAGCCCCATGCAGCCAGGGGCGGTGGCAGCAATGGCGGCACTCCACCCAACTGCCATTTGCTCTCTTCACCGCCCATCAGAGCATCGGCATTTGTGTGATTGCTGCCTGTGCACGCTGGGGCCCGGTCACTGCCAATGGTGACTGACCTGGTCTGGACAATGGTTGCCTTCCAGCTGTTTGATGTGCCTCTCTCAGTGTGCATGAGCACGGCTGGTTGCAGTGAGGATATGGGTGAGCTTGTGATGGCAAGCACAATGAGACATCTGCAGTTCATGCTGCACTCGACTCATAGCCTGCGGCCGCCACTGAGCCCCTGGCCAACATTTGGTTACGCACCAGTCATGGCTTATGGTTCCTCAAAGCCCGTTCCACTTCAGACCACTGGTGGGGGCCACTATCCCACTTCTGACACCACTGTGGCATCAGCATAGAGTAAGACACAGGGGAGACCATGATTTCTGTAAGAAGGGTTCTTTATTAATCTCCAAGACGAAATGGCACACACAAAGCATTCACGGAATGGGAGAGGTCACTACAAGCCACAGCCTCACAATAGACCAACCCCCAACACAAAATACACTAACTAAACCCAGACCCTGAAACAAAATAACACAAATAACAAGTATGCACAACTTGAACTAACTACAACACGACAGCAATAAATAGTCCTTTTTAAGAGGGCATGCACCTAACATGAGCCTCCGCACAAGGCCGCTCACATGGCCACGCCTCCCGAACTTCTTGGAGGCAGAACGAACCAGTAGCAGGTCACTATGGTACTGTCAGTAAGGGCTTTTTCTGATAAAAACACACTGTATGTCCAAACATTCATAGATACCTGCTCAACCAACACTTCTTGTGAAATCAAGAGTATTAACTTTGCTGCAGTAACAACCTCTACTCTTCTGGGAAGGCTTTGCCCTAGATATTGGAACATTGCTGTGAGGAATTAATTACGTACATCCATATATATATTTATTGCATTGAGCACCAGCACTCCAAAGAATGCAGTTTTACTGCTCCACAGCTCAGGTTGGGGGGCTTTATACTCCTCTTGCTGCCACTAGGCACTGGGCATGGTGACCTTAGGCTCATGTGCAGCTGCTTCAGAGAGTCACATTCTACCGGCAACACTTTTCTTTTTTCCTTTGTCAGCAATGGGTGCACTGTAAAACTAGGAGAATTCAGTATTTGAAGTGGTGTCTGGAATCTTAAGAATTTTTAGAGAGATTATTGGGCCAGAAAGTAAAACGTCTATGGTAAAGTTTTAGGTAATCAGGCATAATAATGTTCAAATTATGGGAAACATTTTCAGCTGTACAGAAAAACTAATTAAGGATTTTTTGCAGGACCTGAATTAAAGAAAGGAGGACCTCCTCCACCTCTAGCATCTCACCCTAGCAGCCAAACAGCCTCAAACCTGCCACCCAGTTTGCCCCCTCGACCTCCAGGAGCCATGTCAGTACCACCACTCCCTGTATCATTATTTTTACGATAAATAGTTGTATTAAGTAATAATTGCTTTATTATGAATTATTTTAGTAGGACTACTATTCACAATGTGATGTTTCTGATGTTAGCATACAGCCAGATCAAGATGAGAATTATGATGATGTTGGAGAACTGAAGGACTCATTTATGGGTGAGTGGAGACCTAACATTATGGCTTTAGTGCCAAAACTCAAGATGGGGTGGAAGCCTAAATTCATATTGATGTAAAAATATTGTCACTTTGGTGATACAAGCAGAAGTAAAAATATCTTTCCAAAAACAACTTGAAAATAAACCACTTAAATACTGAGAAACTTGTAGAACTGCATTAGAACTTCTTAGTACGTTTTCAGTGTTTATCACCATCAGAACTGAAGTATGTTAGGAACTTTTCTCTTTTTGGATCATTTATGTCTAAAATTAAACAATAACGCTCAAAAGTCAACCAATCGTGAAGCATGCAGGTGTTAACAGCAATGTAAGAAAGTGAAATTGAACACAGAAAAATGGCTAAAATGCAAAAGTTAATTAATTATCTCTGAAATATACTTGAGTGGAAGTAAAAGTATTATCATTTCAAATTACTTATAAAAGCACAAAATCCACCCAATCAACATTTAACTGAGCAACTGGATACTGCTAACCTCTACCCAACACCCATGAAGGGGGTTTCTGTCAAACACTCAAATTACAGAGAAATAGGTTTAAACAACTTAGGAATTAGATGTTTACAACAAATACCTGATATCTAATTAAATATATAATAAGTGCAATAAATATCTAATACACATACTTTGTCTTTGTAGGAAATTCTGGGAGAGATGGCGAGGTAAGAAACGTGACTAGTGGTTTAACTTAAATAGAATTTGCGGAATTTTCACTGATAGTTTGTCTACTTTTTCTTTCATTTGCACAGGGAAGTGGAAGTGATGGGGACATGTATGAGGATCTTGATGAGAGATGGTAGGCAGTTTTCTGACCACATGTACTTCTGTTTCTGCAGGTGATGTGTAAAAACGGCTTTAGGTTTAGACACATGTCATGGTGCAACTGCTAAATCAGTTTCCAATTATATCACTGAGCAGGTCTGCAGTAGAAGCAAGGGAGCAAGACAAGAAACGAGAGAAGGAAGAGAAAAAACGGGTAGAGCAAGAAAAGAAAGATCAGAAGGAGCGAGAGAGAAAAGAACAAGAGGCGAGGAAGAAATTCAAAGTAAGTTCGGAATGCCTCACCAAATGTACAACCACTCCAGTTAACACAGATTACCATGCTTGTGTACAGTTCTGTACAGTACAGTGCAAAAATCAGAGACCACCTTTCATTTATTATTTACAGTCAAACAGCCATTGAGCACAAGTTATTCATTTTTCAGGAGATATTTCTGAGGATATTTGATATAAGACCATCCAAAAACAAGAGTTTCCACAACTGGAGTTAATTGAAGGATACCGGGTCTGTTAACAAACATACAAGACCTGGCAGACCACCAAAAGAGCCACCATCAGATAAACAGTACTTAAAGCTTTAATCTTGGACAGATCAAGCTGCATTCTTGTGTTATGACCCCACGTTTCATCTAGGGAGGTGGGATCAGTAACATGTGACTGGTGATGGAGGAACAGGTCAATAGAGCTTTTGAAGGCATTTTATTATAACCAACCACGATAAAAGGTGTGCTATGATACCTAGTACCACACTGGAAGAGTCAAACTGTGAATGGCACCAAAGAAAAGAACAAAACAAAACCTAACCACGCTAGCCGACTCAAACAACTGAAACAAAAGGTATTTGGCTAATTTAAAAACAGAAACAAAAGCTAACTACTCTAAACTTCCCTATCTAGTAATCAAAAGTACATGTGGTGGTGCTCGCCCTCTGACCAAGGGAACTAGATAAAGTGGACTTCCATGTGGTGCGAATGTATAGGCGCGCCCCTCTTACCTGTTTGAAACCCCAGGTTTCAAAAAAATAATTAATCACTTGTAAAACAAAAGTGTGCTGGTAAAATACCAACTGAAGCACTTCCCCTAACCCAAGAGAGAACTCTCATAAATGAAGTTAAGAGAAGTACTGGTAAAATACCTAAAACAAAAGCACACTCCCAGCACAAGAGATTAAACCACAAACTAAAACACAGCACACATCAGATCAGTCTTCTCTCTTCTTAGCCATCTTGAAGGACCAGGAGAGAGAGACACACACACACAAACAAAAAATGTACTTGCAGGCTTACACGTAACACTTGCTTCAGATCTGAAAAAAATCAGATTAAAACACAAACACTACACACAGCCCAGACCTCAACATCACTGAACGTGTTTGAGATTACTGTGATCATGAGAAACATAAAATGCATCCAACTTCCACGACTGAACTTCGGAGGTGTGGAAAAATATCTCTGCAAATTTCTTTGAAAACCCTGTTAATAAAAATGTCTGTAAAACATATTTTTCCTGCTTTTTCCTGCTTTTCAGTTTTGACTTTGTACTTGCCTACAGAACATTAGCGCCATATTACAATCATTTTACACATATATCTGCAGCAAAATTGTTTTATATTATTCAAAACAGTGATATCACACTTAGTAGTGTAAGCTAAAGAAGTTTAGGTCTCTCCTCCTATAAAGTTGGAACTTTGAAACTTGTACTTGATGGCCATTTGGACTGGAAATGAAATAAATGAAAGGGTGGTCTCTGACTTTTGCTTGGTGTTGTAAGTTTTTGTGAGTGTTGGGTGATAAATTGTTCCACAATGTTTGTGTTTGATTTCCTTGCAGCTCACTGGACCTCTTCAGGTTATCCATAAAGTAAAAGCCAGAGTGGACTGTAAGGGAGGAAAGAATGACCTCAGCATTAAACAAGGCGAGCCTATTGACGTTCTTCGGATTATAGACAACCCCGAAGGACGATGGCTGGCCCGGACGCAGGATGGGTCCTGTAAGTGGCAATGTTCTGTTCAGAGAAGCACTGCTGTCATAGTGTGAAGAAGCAAGTATATTAAGACAGTTGGCGACATCCATGTCTAAGTATATTTAGTCCTAAGCTGGATGTTATCTGAAAACAGTAGGAACCAACATTGTGTTTGCAGTTCACAGTGACAGCAGTGTGATATATGCTCAGAATAAGACTACTGTGTGTTGTGGTGGAGATGCTGAAAGCCTCTTTCCCATTCCAGACGGTTATGTAAAGACAGAATCAGTTCAGATTGACTTTGATAAGCTGAGGAATCAAGGCCTCTCCCTCCCCTCTCACATGGACCAAGATGACGGAGAGGTATATGATGATGTAGCCCCTCAAGATGACCTAAATAGGTACAGTATCTACACTATGTTCAAATTCATGTGATTACTGTTACTGGGCTTTGAGTTGCCAGCTTCTTGTGCACTAGTGTTCAAAAGTTTGCCATGTAGCTATCATATAGGTGCACATTATAGGTTTACAGTTTTTGAATGCAGCCCACCTGTTGCAGTACAATTAGCCCGACCATCAATAAGTGACAATTCATCAAAGTAAGGTGTTGGGCCACCACAAGCCACCATAGCAGCTTTAGTGTGTCTTGGTATAGATTGTACAAGTCTCTGGAACTGCAGCGAGGCATGAAACACAATTCTCATAAAAGATATCCCCTCAATTGTTGTTTTGATGATGGTGGTAGAGAGCACCGTCTAATATATCAGGCTGAAATCTCCCAAATGTGTTCAATCGGGTTGAGATCTGGTGACTGCAAAGGCCAGAGGATATGATTTACATCATTTTCATTCTTATTAAACCATTCAGTGACTCTTTGTGTCCTGTAAATAGGGGCACTGTCATCCTGTAAAAGACTATAAAGGTGATCAGTTTCAATAACTTGTATTAGTTTGCAGTGAGCTTTCTCTCTAAGGGTGCTACTGTAGAGGTTAAGCATTCAGGCCTGTAGCATTCTCTTGGTGTAATGCTACACATGCACTCGCCTGCTCGTGGAGAACATGGTGAAAGATGACTTATCTGACCATATCTCTATTTTTACCATATCTCTGTAGACAAGTGGTTTTTGCACCACTGAACTCTCAAATGAGTGTTCATCTTTGTAACGAGGGGTTTATATGCTGTGAGTGTATTATAGTATCCCTCTTTATTTATAACCCCCAATTCCAAAAAACACAAAGTTTTATGCTTTACCTTATGCACTTCATTGTTTTTGGTAAAAATGCGCTCATACCAAATTTGATGTGTGCATGAAAAGTTGGGACAGGAACACGTTTATCACTGTGTTGCATCATCTTTCCTTTTAACAGTACTTGATAATCGTTTCAGGATTAAGCCCGTTTTGAAAGCAGAATTTTTGTCTTTCTTCTGCTATACAAGTCTTCAGCTGTGCAACCGTAGAGGTCTTGTGTTGTAGTATTGTAAGCTTAATAATAAATAGGAGATAGTTCTGGACCGCAGTCAGACATCTGCCATCTCTGATTACGCAGCCGTACTGTTGTAACATGTGTAGAATGTGTCTTGATGTTGTCATGTTGGAAAAGACGGCACACCAAAAGGCAGTATATGTTGCTACAAAATGTGTTCAGCATTATTGGTCCCTTCACAGAGCAAAAAACCTGATACCATGACAGAGACTGGCTTTTGAACTTCATGCAAGTGACAATCTGGACGGTCCATTTCTTCTTTGACTTGGAGAGCACAATGTCCATTATTTCCACAAACAAACTGAAAGGTTAGCTCGTCAGATCACAGTATGTTTCCACTGTGCATCAGTCCATTTCAGGTGGGCTTGAGCCCAGAGAAATCAGCAGCGTTTCTGGATGTTGATATACGGCTTCTGCTGTGCATAGTACAGTTTTACTTGCATTTGTAGATGCAGTGACAGATGATGTTTGTTGACAGCGGTTTTTCAAATTATCCCCAAGCTCATGTGGTAATATCCATCACAGAAGCATGCTGGTTTTTAATGCAGGCCGTCTGAGGGGTCAAAGGTCACAGATATTCGGTTGTGGTTTTCAGCCTTGTCCTTTATGCACAGAGATTTCTTCGGATTTCCCGAATATTTTGATGTTATTATGCACTGTAGAGGATGAAATACCTAAAAAAAAAAACCTTGCAATCCCAGTTTGAGGAACACTAGCTTTAAACTGTTGACTGTCCAAACTTTTTTGGAACATCAATTTTAGGAAGAGCATGTATTTACAAAAAACAATGAATTTGACAAGGTAAAACATTACAAGTTGTCTTTGTTCTGTTTTTTTTTTTTTAAACAGGCTTAAAGTAGATTTATTAAACACTACTTTGCACTGACATTCTAATCAGCATTGCTCTTCTGTTTTTTCCTTACATATCACACTGATGCATGAGCATCACACTCATTGAATATGTGTGAATCCTATTAAAACATTAGCGAATTTAGCAGTACTGTGACTGAAGCTCCAGCCATCCATTCACCAGTAATGAATCCTCTTTCAAAGTCACTTAAATCTTTTTCTATTGCCATCATGATCCAAAATTGAGGAAAAGTGGGCGTGCTTAGCATTTTTATACATACCACAGAACATGGTAGGATGTTAACTGCTTAACTGCATCATGCAGTACACCTATCCGGAAGCATCTGCACTGACGCCCCTCCACTCATTAGGTCTGTTTGTCCTTTAATTCGTCAGCTGTAAAATGACCATTGAGTGTAGATACGACGTACCTAATAAACTGGCAACTCAGTGTAGTTTGTAAATGATGTTATGTTTAATCATCGATATTACGTGTTTGGGTTCAATAGGTAATAATTCTATTGTTTTTGATCATTTCAGAAGTAACAGTGGTCCAGGGGGTAAGTTTGTACAGTTTTTACAGCAAATGAGATCAAAATGAAGAAGGTCTATATTTGGGCTGGCCTAAATATGCATAAATGTATAAAAGCTACAGAGCAGGAAGAATTTGTGAATAACACTGCCCTCTGCTGTTTGTAGTTGTTCTACCTCCACCACCAGAGGGAGATGGAGATGTGTATGATGATCTGGACGATCCCAGCCTCATGGTCAGGTGAGAATACTTGGACGTTGTGTCAAAACTGCGCTGAAATGAAAGCAATATGTAGACACTGTTTCTGATACTGTTGATCTTAATTGTACAGTGTAATATATCAGGTGTGTGTCTCATCATACCACATCCCCACACTAGCAGCCCGGAGAGCAAGTTTCTTCCCAATCCTCTCAGCTTCTTTCGGATGCTAAAAGTTCCCATTGAGCGGAGAAAAAGCCCAGTCTGCATTAAAGAGTAATTTCCACATTAGTAAGATGGAACCACATAATGTTCTTCCTTGAAATCATAACCCCCTTGACTAAAAGACCTTCAACATCTTCATGATCTGCAGGAGCTCAATCAGTTTCACCCTAAATATACATAAAATCACACTTGATTGTGTCTTATTGTGTCTTGTGTTCTTATGTTCTTGAATGTAACTGCTTCCAATCTGCAAGCAAATCCCTCCTCAAATAACATTCTTTAACATGTAACTCTTCTATGCTTTATTAATTGGTGTGATTTACTGGAAAAGTGTATTTTCTTTACTTCATTTCTTTTCTAATCAATTTCCTTTCACTTTTGATTAATATATATTCATATATATATATATATATATATATATATATATATATATATATATATATATATATATATATATATATATATGTACACACCACATATATATACCACCGATATAGTGGTAAAGTGAATGTTTCTTTACCTACAGGGTGCCTCCTCCTCCACAGTTCAACCAAGATGGAAACACAGGTAAAGATTACTCTTACTCACTGCTCTCACTGACCAGCTCTCAACAGTACTTTTCATTCATACCTGTGGCTTTACACCTTTGCCAATCCACAGTCTTTTTATTTTATTTTATTTTGTTACTTCTTGCATGGCACACATGTCCCATGCCTGTTATAGTCTTCTCCCACCTCATCTATATTGACAGTAAACTGTTTAAATAATTCTCTGTATAGGCCTATATATTTTTGTAATAAAATCTGTGGTTATATCTTAGATTTATTTGCATTAAACACGTATTACTATGCCTACCCTCATAAAAATAAAGGTGCCAAAACATTATTTGGAGTGATGCCATAGAACTTCTTTTCTTTCAAAGAATTTTGTAAATGACATGTACGAGTGTGAAGAACCCTTTTAAAATTCAAATTACCTCAAATCATTTCTAAACCAATTAAATGTCAAGAACCACTTAGGAACCGTTATTTTTAAGAATGTATTCTGTAATATTCATTTAAAAAACTTATATAAAAACTTATATAAACTAAGTTTGGAATAATTGACCTACTAACAGTTGTTGTTCAATAATAACTTACAATGTTGATCAATACAATGTTGATTGAAATACTATAAACTAGACACCAAAGCATGAACCAATGGTTTGTTCCCCATTGTATTATGGGAACAATAAGAATTTATGACATCTAGCATATTTAGTAATTTCTTGACATAACTATAAACAGTATTTGATTAACAAGATTTGGTCACCACTTTTCAATTATGAGACATTCTGGATGTTAATTTTAATATAACTTTATTGTTTGTACTAAACAGCTTTCTCAGGTATTATGGAATCATCTACAGCTCTGTTTATGTCTTCATTTTTACAGCTTTCTACAAATTTTTTGAAACCTACAGAACATTAGCACCATATTGCAATCATTTTACACATATATCTGCAGCAAAATTGTTTTATATTATTCAAAACAGTGATATCACACTTAGTAGTGTAAGCTAAAGAAGTTTAGGTCTCTCCTCCTATAAAGTTGGCATTTTGGAGATATGAGATTTTGTTCCGAGGACTTGGCCAAAAAAAAGTGACTTCCATTCCGTTTCTCAGGACCTTCATGGGTTAACATTCATGGGTTAATCACATCACATAAACCTACAAAGAATTCTATTTGCAGTAAAATTTAGTGTTTTGTTTTAAATTCATCATCAGATCAGTCATCAGCACCTGGCTGTGATGAAATTTATGATGATGTGGACGCCTTCCCAGCACCTCCTCCCCTCAGCAGGTACACTCTCACACCACCGTCACCTATTTTTAAAGAAAAACATTCATACTGTATACTAAATAAGAACGACTGTGTCTTATGCTACCTTTATTCATGTATTGTTTTTGCTGGTTTGAACTTTTTCTCCAGTCTTCCTCAAATGAAGCCAAAGGCAAAAGCTGAGGTTAAGATAGACGACCCGAAGAAGCAGAAGAAATTTGAAAAAGAGGAGAAGGAGTTCAGAAAGAAGTTTAAGGTACTGCATATAAAGCCAGGTTCCCAAGCCCAGACTAAGCCTAAGCTCAGACAAAAAGTATTTCCAGTGGAGATTCATCTTTGCTACTGCGTTTTAGTCTAAAACCAGTCTAATCCATTTCGAGTAATTTTACCATACATATTTGCTGATAGTTTTGCTGCATAGGAAAAAAATCATCTTATTTTATGTGTTTTTTTTTTTGTTCTACACACTGCATGAGACATTAATAACTCTAAGCTGCACTGCTTTCCAGTTTGAAGCAGAGATCCAGGTGCTGTACCAGGTGACAGTTGGGTGCAGTAAGAAGGGCAGTGGGAAGGACCTGACTGTGCAGACTGGAGAGGTGCTAGACGTCATCCATAAACCAGAACATGACAAACTCATCTGCAGGAACAAGGAGGGGAAGTGTGAGTATCTCTTTCTCCATATGAAGTCAGTCAAACCCAAACGAACTGATAACAGAAATAAAAACGTGTGTATCTCTGCTTTTACAGTTGGATATGTCTCAGTCGACTTCATCCGGTCTGAGTAAGTTTAGTATAAAATGATTTTAAATATTATACATTTGTTCGTTTCAATATATGGAAAACTACAAACAACTCGTGTCCTCTGCTTCCACAGGGATATTGACATCTACGACGACATTGGTGATGGTAGGTCGTCTAAATACTAAATTGTTTCTGTAGATACAGTGAATTAGACATTACGTGCTAGGGAAATAGGGCCCCGAATCATAGAAAACTAAATATACCATTCAATCTTAAGTCCCTACAGTCCACATATTATAACTAATTTGCAATTTACATAAACCTTATTTCATATAACAAATTCAGCCTGCAGCTGTTTAGCTACACCCATTCACGTTGAAGTCATAAGGAGTGGTTTACCCCAGACTGCTTTTTCAGTGAGGCACAATGCAATGTAGCCAATCAGAACAGGCTCATTTACATACATCAGTCTTAAAGGTACAGTAACAAAAGTAGCCTGTTTAAATCAGGGATAAAGAGAGGTTGGAAATGGTCATTTAAAAATAAATTATCATGGTTTTCAGGTACTTAAAACCACACAAACATTATAAATGGACCTCAAGGGACATTATTAGTCCGAAATGGGCCCTTTAAGATCGCTATACTCTTGAAAATTAGGGGTGTAATGATACACATATCATCGGGATTGTTACGATTTTCAATTCTGTGGTTAAGATTCATTTTTTGATATAAGATTTTTAAGTTAGATAGTTGTGGCCTCAACATAGAAAGGTGTGAGAACAAGATAGTTACTAAAGCATGATTTAGAATGAGATAACTAAGCTGCGATGGTTGCGTTGTGGCCACAACTTAGCAAGGTGTGGGAAGGAGATAATAAAGTTGTAATGGTTAAATTGTGGCCACAACATAGTAAGGAATGGGAACAACTAAACAATCTCGTTCCCACTCCTTATTAAGTCGCATTAGGATCCCATGCCTTAGTAAGTGGCCATGCATTGTTTTTATTAAGAAGGGATGTCATAGTAACATGACTAGTTTATGACTAATCTATCTATCTTTACAGACTGCATCTACGATAATGACTAAGGATTTCTGAAAACATCAGCATCTCTTCATGCAGCTACTGGTCTTGTTTAATTGTACTGTGTGACAGTTCGTGTTGGGCTTATTTATTGCATGTATATATGAGCGAGTGGCAGGACGCACTCAACATGTGATGCAAATTGTTAGTGGCACTGTTTATGTTTAACATTTTAAAATGTTGTTCAAGTTTTGCCTAGGAAACTACTGCATTACTATGTGTGACACAAGTATTTATAGATACACCAGAATCAAAAAGCAGTCAGGCTAGCCCCTCCCCCCACCACCTTAATTTGGCAAAGCAAAAATACATCTTTTTATATGTAATTTGAATGACATCTATAACACCATATTCATCGAAGAGGCAGTATTGTGTTTGCCATTTCTACTTTGGCCTATGATTTTTGTATCCTGCATTATTGCACTGTACTGTTACTTTTTAATAAAGAATATTCAACAACACAGCAGTCCGCTTCGTTCACTGATACAGTATGCATGAGGTAGCTTCAGCAATATGCATAACCAGATTCTGTTTTCAGTGATGAATAGGCCTACTTCAGCACTCCATCCAGCAGATGGCACTGTCCACAGAGATTAGTGTCATTACCGCTCTCAGTGTTAGAGGTCTGTTTACAGAGTTACATTCATTCAGTGAGCCCAAAAACAGTGCTGGCTCTGTGCTGCTGGAATAATGTTATAATACATTACATCAACACAAATTTCTAACATTTAAAGTTAAGCTACAAATCAAATTTACACAATGTTCCCTTTACCTCATATGTAGCCTAACTGACCAGCCAAGTTTGGTGCCTGAAGTCAAGTCAAGAGGCTTTTATTGTCATTCCATCCATGTACAAGTACACAGTGGAGTGAAATTACGTTCCTCCAGGAACAAGGTGCAACATGGAAGCCTGAAGCTTCCTTCTGTAGTTTCACACAGTCTAAAACAGTGAACAAGCAATGGACGCTTATAACCTGGCAAGTAGCACTGCGCAAACTGCATTCCTAAATCATCATACACTTTCCTAAAGCTGAGTGAAGTTAAATAATTTCCAATAGACTTGTCTATGTGGTTTCTGACACTGTTGACATGATTATCAACACGAAAATGGACAAAAGTATGCATAAAATTCAGGCTATAATGATGGCTGCTTCTATCTACCGTTTCTAGCCATGCTGTACCTTTGTGCATGCTTACAGATAACTACTCGGGACCCCTTAAACCCTCAAAAGAAGGCCTAAGGATTATGTCATTGTTAGTTCCCTTTTTATTTAATATATCCTCCATGTTTATTATATTTAAACTCCGCAAACATTGTAGTGACACTCTTAAATTTTGGTTGACAATAAAAGTGTTCAATTCTTGAACCGGCCAACAGAAAATTATCCAATCTTTTTTTTCTCTGTGGTATCTAGGTAGGTACAGCCAAGCTAGTTCTCCCATTGGTTAAGACTTCAGGAGCTGAACTGAAGTCACTGTTACATACACAGTAAAATATATCACTGCTGTCCAAACTGTGAGAAAAATGATGAATGGACCGATAGAAATGCTCCAAACCTCTTTAAATTAACATACATTATGTATTAAGTATGTTTTTGTATTCTCATGCAAAGTTGCCATTTTGGAGAAACATGTTTTTCTTTGGACAGCGATGATATGTTAATATGTCTGTTACAAGCAACAAATAACACATGGAATGTCTTCAAATATCCACATTTAACCTGGAATAACCAAAAAAGTTCTTGTGAATCGCTGTTAGCTTAGTGCTAATGTGGTACTTGAATCCCATAAGGGCGCTAGCAGTAATTAGCATTATTTTATAGTTGTTTTTCCTTTGTTTTTGACCAGACTTAAGGTCTAGCTCTAAAGGTCGTCACTGGTCACTGCAGATAACTGTTTGTCAGAAACTACATTAGGACTTCTTGAGGATACTAAATAAGTTCACATGGTGTGAGGCAAGATTGTGATGAGACATGCAGTTAGCACAGTGCTAATAACAAGCTTCTATTACTTATTAGCTACATTAGCTTGACAAAATAGTGCAAAACTAAAGAAGCTATACTTTTCCAAACTATCACTTACCAAATGTCCTCTCCCTATATACCATCCCCAAGACAACCAAGGAAAGAACATCACAGCATCACATTTGGAAACCAACATTTGTATTTGGTGCTTTTCACGGTCAGATAATGAGACTGATTAACTTGTTCATAAATTAGAACGCACGTTCTGTAGTAACATTGAGCACAGTAGCCATGCACAATGTGCAGTAAATAATGCGAAAGGAGTTTGGTGACAACGTATCAACTTACAAAAATAAAAATATTATGTACAAAAATGTATCAACTGTTTTCATAAACAATATACATATACAGTACTTGTCCTTCCCAGGAGGAACAAGGAAATGATACACGTCATTTTTGCTTAACCCTCATAAACAGCTTCACTTCTCCGGCCTGGCAAATTTACAATTTGCTGATTTACTTATTCTATTACAATATATACAACATATTTTGGACAGTCTTTTAAGACAGCAAGTGGTGCTGAATTACAGACGTATAATCCCATGAACGGTTCAGATATGCTTCTCCTTCCAGCTACAGACCAAAATCCTTGGCTTCTTTAGATTCATATAGTACAGTTTTCCCAATAGCCTAGGGTGGGATGCAGACACCTTGCTCATTTAACAACCATGTAATATTACATTCGTAGCTTGATGTACATGTTCAATTATACAGTATCTGTATTCTCTCCATGTTGGAACAGATGCTTAAATACATTTTCACTAAAAGATGTTTAAACGCCCTGCACAGTCATTTTGGTGCTCACTTTCTGCCTGGTTTCATGAGAACATTTCATCGATGTACTTGTAACAAGGATTCTACAAACAGGTTGAGGAGACGTTATAAGACTAATTTGAGCCTGTTAAACCGGCTCCAATTTTCCTCTCAATGTTCCTGGTTGTTGTCTAATGCTTACTGAGGAGCGCAGACTCACTAAAAGGTACACCCTGTGCTTTTAGAACAGAAAAGCACTACAAAGCTGATTGGGCAGGAAATATGTTGCCTCTTTTTAATTAACAGGTTCTAGATGCAAAGCCTTTAGGCACTAATCTGAAAATTGATCCTTTAGCTGGGGTTAAATCTAAAAGAAAACTAAAAAGTTCTTAAGTACTTCTTAAAAGTTCTAAAATACTCATATGTTAGGGATCTAGAGGACCAACTGTGCAGGACCATTAAAAATAAAACCTCTACAGCAATGAGTTTTGAACATGACTGAAACTGAATCCATTTGGGCATCAATTACTTACTTACAGTATTAAGGGGAACTAATAATTTATACAATTGTGCATAATTCAGTCATTGAGGTGTAAACAAAGTCACTCAGAGGGATTTAATGTAAAATGTATTGTGGAGAAACTTCAGATTTCTTTACAATGGTGGTGATAGGAGCCAAGGGTTGTGATGTTTACATGTCAAATGCAGCCATTTATTTCGCTGTCCAAAATGACCTACAAGTGTCCCTAATATTGATGATGGTAATATAGTGGCACATTTTCTTTGGGGGCTACTTTTGCTGTACAACACCTTGCATGTTCTTCTCTGCCATTAATGGGGTTCTAAGAAAAATGTTTTAGGCATGTCTCAAAACTACACACAGGTCCTCAAGGGTCCTTTAGTAAAGAAAATGGTTCTATATAGAACCATGAACACTCAAAGACCCCTCTGAATGATTAAGAGGTTCTTTCTTTTTGAAAAGGGTTTAATATTGCACCAATATGTTACGATGTCAAGCTTGTAATAATAGAAGCACCTTTTGGTGCTATATAGAACCATTTTCAAAAAGGTTCTATATAGAACCATATTCAACACATTCTCCATCAGTCTGATGAACCCTTTCATGACCCTTTAATCATGCAATGGGTTCTTTGAGTGTTCACGATTCTATATAGAACCGAGGGTTCACTTTTGGAAAAACATTATTTCTAAGTGTGTACTGTAAAACACTGTCACAGGCGTCAGGCAGTGTATTCATGAGCATTTCATGTAACAGCTTTCTGTGATGCGCCTTTAAGAAGCACTAAAATGCTTCAGATGTCTGGTTCCTGTCACCACCACTGTGAATAATTTTGACTTGGTTAGTTTCTCTAGACTGGAACATTTCAAATCTAACTGCTCTGAAGGTCTTTGTTTAGATCTTAACCAATTTTTTATTATTATTTATTATAAGATTTTTTGAAAAATTGCTAAACTTCCCCTTTAATTAGTCCTGTTCACCAGCTATTAGGACGCTAACAAATGAGCTAACCAACAGAAATCATTTTGGTCAAAATAACGCAGGCCATTCTTTAACTATGCAATATTTGTCATTTTGTCCGCATCATGCAGCCTCACCAGTTAAGCAGTCAATGGGTATTTTTCACATCAATAATCAGGTACAGTTAATGACATGAGGAACCAACATGTGTGTATTGTTTTGATGGAAGAGTTGGTGGAACTCGATCATACAGAACCCTAAAAGAACAACTGTTTTTTATAAGCATGTTTCTAGAAACTGCACATCATATGAAGCCCCTGCAACAAAGTGGCTTTCCTCACAACACTGTAAGCTTTATCCTTTTCTTTTCACAGTCCAGAAAGTGCCATTACATCAAAACAAATGCGGCTGATCCACCGATAATCCATGCTCTGACTAAAGTGGTGAAACTCTAAGGTGGGCCAGTGGTACTGTGGTGAAGTCCCGGTAAACAAGCTTCTCAGGGAAAGATGTCTGTAGGTGCAAGATTTCAGTTCCAGTCCGTAATACTGTTAGTTTATTGGAGGCTGGCAGTCAGAGCTGATTAACCTAAGAAGAAGAGAATGAGAGCCATTAAACAATGTGACTAAAACCAGAAATATGCATGATGGTTTAACAGACAAAGATTAAGATAAATCCTGGACTGATATGTTTCAACGGAGGATTTCAATCGAAGGTGTGTGAGTAACTTTAAGACAAGAAGTTAAACCTGTGGCTGGGAAATGTCACCATACCAACATTTTTACTTTAATACCCTCAATAAGGGCTGGCTTCCCAGACAGGGATTAAGCCTAGTCCTGAACCACACAGTATTCTAAAAGGAGGTTCTCCATTGAAAGGAAAATGCAGTCCAGGGCGTGGCTTAATCCCTGTCTGGAGAAGAAGCATTGGGCATTACCATGATGTAGCATTGAAAAAGGATTGAGCATTACCATGTTGTAGTACTGAAAAAGCATTGAGCATTACTGTGTTGTAGCATTGAAAAAACACTGAGAATTAGTGTGTTGTAGCATTGAAAAAGCACTGAGCATTACTGTGTTGTAGCATTGAAAAAGCACAGAGAATTACTGTGTTGTAGCATTACAAAGCACTGAGCATTACCATGTTGTAGCATTGAAAAAGCACTGAGAATTACTGTGTTGTAGCATTGAAAAAGCACTGAGCATTACTGTGTTGTAGCATTGAAAAAGCACAGAGAATTACTGTGTTGTAGCATTACAAAGCACTGAGCATTACCATGTTGTAACATTGAAAAAGCACTGAGAATTACTGTGTTGTAGCATTACAAAGCACTGAGCATTACCATGTTGTAGCATTGAAAAAGCATACCATGCAAAGCTACTTACAAGTGTCTGGGGTTTTTGATTCTTCCCTCATTCATGTGCCCACATGGCCAGCTGAACACATGTCCTGTCCAGCTGTCATACTCAGAGGATACATGAGGAAGTAGAAGCGGAACACACACACACACACGCTGACATGGCTCTGTGTGTGGCGTTTGTGTGTTTGTTATAGAGGAGAATCAGAGGTGCAGCAGGGTGTGGGGGCATTTTCAGTCTTTTGAATGTGCTGGGGAGGGGAAGTTATTTATGACTGGGGCTGACCAGCGTAGGAGTCGGAGGGTAGACCAGCGCCACGTTCACTCGCTCGGAGCCATTCTTTGGGCATACAATCTCTGTTAGTCCCTCAGGCCGAGGCTGGCTAAGCAACTCACCTGGAACACAAAAACACAAAAACATACTACACGTTACATTTTGGTAACACAGTTAATATGAATGTAGTTTCACTTTTACTACTTAGCATATAATCCAGCAAGAAAGCACTTTTATACCTTGGAAGAAAAGGTGGTCAATATAGCTAGTTCAAGTACTTCATGTGGTAAGTTTAACTATTTATTTGATTGAAACAACCCCACTAATACTACTACTACTACTACTACTACTACTACTGCTATTACTTTTGCTACTGCTGCTACTACTTTAGCTGCAACTACTACTACAGCTACTCCTGCTCCTGTTGCTCCTGCTGCTATTACTACTACTACTAAGAATAATAATAACAATAATAATAATAATAATAGTAATAATAATAATTTGGACTAATATACTGCCACTGCCATTCTCACAGCAGGTTTGTTCTGAGTAGATTTGTTAGAATTTTTGTTGGAGAGGTGTGTCAATCATTATTTTGCAAACAGTCTGCAAGCAATAAAGAGAGCCTGGAAAATTGTCAAATAGATAATTTTAGGATATGTTAATGTTAAAACTTCATTAAAAAGTAATGACTTATCTTTGGGTTTATAAATAATTTATTTCATGTTTTCTATAGGATGTGTCTTGTGTAATATTCACTACCTGATAAGTGACCCATCTACTGACCCAGTGTTTGCCTTGACCCCTTTCTTAAAAATATAAAACATAAATGAAAAACAGTCCATTCTTATCCCACTAGAGGGCAGCAGTAGTGTGTTTATTGAGCTGTAAGCCAGGCTTTCTCCCAACACCTCTGAGAGTTGCTGCAGAGGGAGGTTCCTAACTGATGGGAAGGCTGTGGGAGCATAACACATGCTGATAAAGCAGAGCTCAAATGCTGTGTCACAAGGCACATGTTTCATTTGATCAAATGAAATGGGGGAAAAATTATTACCAGTGAAGCCACAATCAATGCCATGTGATTTCCTCCAGGAAAACATTCCTGCTCCACATTCACATGCCCCTCCTAGTTCTCTGTTTCAGATTCTCTACATTTAAGCACAAACAGGGAAAATCCAAGCCTACACTTCTAAAAAAATAAGGAACCAAATAGGGGTTTTCTGGAGTGATGCCACAGAAGAACCACTTCTGGTTTCCTACAGAACTTTTCAGTGGATGGTTTTTAAAGAATCACTTCTGTAAATAAGATGTGTGAAGAACTTTAAAATTCTCCACATAATGTAAATGTTCTGGACCAATTAAAATGTTTTCCATAGCGCTTAAACTAAATTGCAATGCTAGTGTTGATTCACTTTTGGAAAATATTTTAGTCTAGGGTTAGAATTAATCTGAGTCTGGAAAACTGGCCCAGTATCTACACTGTAAACTGTCACGTGTGTTCACCTATTTGTAACATGAGTATTAATGCATTACTGCATCCGCAATCATTATCAGTCAATATCATTTCAAACATACAGGCTAATGGCTTTTGAAGGCTTTTATTTGTGAGGTACAGCTATTTTTCAGCACTTCTAACTATGAAAATTCAGGAATTTCATAAATCCTCTTGAACATCTGCCTTTTAACTGACATACAGAGTCTGAACCCAGCCAACGTGGGCAGCTCACTTTGCAATACGAGCACAAAGCAGACAGAAGCACATCAGCTGGAACCTCTGAAGTAGTCAGTGTATCTCTGTCTGTTCAATCAGAGTGATGAGTAATGCAATCACTAGAAAAGCACTCACTTCACTCATCTTGTTACAAGATGTGAGAGAAGTGTGTCAGTTTCATACATGAAACAGACTATACAATGTTATGTTGGATGTGTGAGAACAATGGAATGAAGTCATTAATGTAAGTAAGTACAGGTAAGTACAGGTGACCCCACAATCACTTTGCCAGTACAGCTGCCTGGCTGTATTTACTGAGGACATCAAACAAAAACTGAAAAGCGAATTCAATATAATAACATCATAATAATAATAATATATCACACTATCATGGCGTCAGATGATATTCAAGCATTAAACATTTCTAAAATGAATGATCCCACACTTCTTGTGTGCTGCTACTCTACACTAAAGTAAAGAACAGCACATTACATAGTTTGTTCTAATGGAACTGTTTTGCTCTGATCTGCTTTTCTCAAAATTCTACCAATATTATACCCTACAGTGCAAAAAACATTTCTTGGTAAGTGAAAATATTTTAAATCTAGGCAATATATCTAACATTTCTCACTCTGGGATTTTTGTAAGAATATTATAAGATTATTCAATCCACTTCTACACTTTTTTACTTGTTTTAAATGATTATATATAGAGAAACTGTCTTATTCTATTGGAAGGTAATTTTTCTCTTGCTTTAACCATTAGATCTTAAAATAATCAAAATTATACAAATTTTGTCTTGGAAAGAGCAGAATTATCTGTCAATAGAATAAGAATTTCACTACATAAAATTATTTAAAACAAATAAATGTAAATGTACAGAAATAGGTTGAATAATCTTATAATATTCTTACATAAATCTCAAAATACAAAATATTACATTAATTTACTTATTTTCAAATGATTTCACTTGCCAAGATGTCATTTTTTCATTTTGGTGTAATTTTGTTCTTTCAAAGCAATCCTAAGTAACAAACACGTTTTATAACATCTGATTTGCATCAGTATGCTAATAATGTGCCTGGCAACTGCACACTAACATTGTATTGACTTGTCTGGCTTAACTGGACACAGATGCAGAATGACCTGTATAACTGCAGTCCAGTTTTGTTATATCTCTAGTGCAGCTCTATGACAAAAGAGGCACTACACAACATGCAGCCAGCTTTATTGCACTGCAGTTTCCCAACACATATTAATTATCTTATAAGCTGTATCATACTGAATGAGGCTAATGCTAGTGACTGTCAACATATCATGGAGGCTTAATAATATGCTGCACTGATCAAGCACAATAAAAGCTTAAGTCAATGTTTTCCGTCTTCCAGCAGCCTGTACAGTGCAGCACTTAAGCCATTAGTCCTATTGATTTTCTGCTGCTTTCTCCTTTGCACAGAGGGAAAGCAGCAGAAAAAAGGAGGGGCGGAGCTGGTCAGAGCCAAGGCCTCTCCACTGGAAGAGCAAGGCTAAAACAAGGCCATCAAACAAAGAACAATTCCACAGCAGAGGTTATCTGGCACAGGGTCAAGGTTTAGTTAATGGACATGTGCATTTCATGTAGGGCTGCAAGATATGAAGAGTACATTACACATTGATTATGTTGCAAAATATTGCAATTTCATCTCAGATTTCATCACAGTTAAGTTTTATTGGATCACGTACATTTCCTGATTCATCAAGATACCCAGGACATCTGGAACTGCCAAACGAAAAGAAGGAAAAAAGGAAATACTCTAAATAAGATCTCATATACTCTGCTCAGTCATGATTAAATCCTATTTAAATGATTTTTCCTCTCTCCTGAGAAACTACCCTTTTTTCGCTCTTTTGGTAATACTGTCTCACAGAGAGCTTAACTAGCTTAATAGAAAGCTTTGTTTTAGCCTAGTAATATATAAGGCCCCGTTTACACCTGGTCACTTCATGTGTCTCGAGTGTCAAGATTATATCTGGATATGACTAAGCCACATTGCAACTGTAATTGCAAGCATATAGATGCATTTAAAACATGCAAATCAAATCGCTCAAAGCACTTTAGGAGGTGGTCTGAGATACATTTGAGCCACATTATAGCAGGGTAAATGCATCCGTCTCGCCAAGACACATTCGACAATCAAAACCCCTCACTGTAAGACCGAAACTCCTCCCCATGCAGTCACTGGGCACGTGAGCCTCGATCGTGAAGAAGATAATCAGGGAGGACGCACACGGTTGGTGAAAGGATGAAATGAACTGCTTAATAACAATATGGCCTACTAACTGCAGAGGAAGAAGCTGGCAGGATAAATAATTGGTAGCTGGTTGCTGCGTAACAGATTTACATATTCCCCCAAATAGTGATCAGATTTCAGGCCAACTAACCAGATATGCATTTGACTACCAAGTGTAAACGCATGTGGCCAAAATCTTATCAGGATACAATCCAGATGCAAGTCACACGATGTGTAAATGGGGTCTAAATAATGAAAAAATGGTAGTATCTCATCATTTCCTTACGTAACTGTCCTCTACAGCTCAGAAATCTTTCAGCAATCTATCAGTAAAAGGAGGTCCTTGTGCTTTTTTCATTTGACTTAAAATGAAATGCTTACATTAAGCGCTTATTTCAGGTGTTCAGGTGATTCAGAAATTCAGAAAGTTCAGTATTGAGATGTGCTTTATTTCTCCTAAAACAAAGAGAAGTTGATCTTGTGTGAGACATTTTTCCTTTGAGTGTGATTAGAGTTAAACATTTGAGGCCGGTTTTGTGGACATGGATTGAGTCTAGTCTTAGACTAACCTGCAATGTCAATGGCACTTTATATATATTGACTGTCAGTTGTTATTTTTAGAATGATCACATTTAAGTTACATTTATTAGCCTCTAAAGTATTAACTAGCCAAGGTTAGCTGGCTGGACCTCAACATCACAACACTAAGAAATGTCTATAGTTACTCAGAATCATGTGAGTCAAACAAAATGTACATTTTTCTCTTGAGAGTGTAAAAATAACAGTAAAAAACCACTAGTCCTGTAGCTGCTAGCATACATGCTAATAGCAAAAGCATTAGAGCTTCAGCGCTAGCCAACATTAAATTGAACTCTTTACGAAGTGATAATTCACACAAATGTCTACAGTTTCCTAGAATCATGTGTTAAGAGTCCAGCATAACATATATTTTCTCTTAAGAGTGTAAAAATGAGAGAAAAAAACAAGTGTGCTCTAGCTGCTAGCATATATGCTAATAGCACTAGTTTTACAGCTTCTGAGCCAGCTAATGTTACACTAGTGAATAAATGTAACTTTACAAAGTGATAATTCTCGTCACTGCGATATTTCTCTCGTGTCTAATTCATTGTGATCGTAATAC